ATGTGGAGTTGACATTGTTTTTTCTTCTGTTTTTTTTTTTTTTTTTTTTTTTTTTTTGCCTGCTACCTTTACAATTATATTTTTCCTGGTTATGAACTTGCAATTGTAATAACGAAGCAGCTTGCCAAGTCTGGTAGTTAAAATGGAGTTGTTACTCCACAAAATCATCTTATTACTTCTATAATAGAAGGAAGAAGGACTGAGAGCCACTCATCTTGAACACTTTATTACTTTAGGTCCCGATCTTGGAAAGACTTGGACATGAGTTTATGTTTACCCATTGTGAAAAGTCTTTGCAGGACTAAGACATTAGCTGACTAAAGAAAACAAGTAATTTAATCAGTGTATGAGTTCAGCAAGAAATTTTTGAAGGTAATAAAACTTCTAAAGGTATAAACATTGGAAAATATTTTTAATATTTTAATGGCTTGAGTCAGGTAACAAAAAATCTCAACTGTTTATTGTTTTATTAATTGTATTAGGATGCAAGTATGATGATACATACTTCAATCACTTGATCAAAAGCTGTTGGAAAAAACAAGTTAGTAATCAAGCCTTTCTTTAGTTTTTGCCTTCTGTATCATTAGCTGTCTTTCCCCTGTTACCTTCTCAACAGTCATGAACTATATTGTGCAGGAGGTGGACAGGAGGGCTTAAAAGTTGCTATATTGGTTTACTTCTGTGGGTTTTTGCACACTTGCAGCTGAAACTACGTAGGACTAAAGTCTTCAAGTTTTTCTGCATTTCTCTCATGTTAGGGGGGTTGTTAGTGTTTCTAGGATGTCTTCTGTCTTGAAGTCAAGTAGGCAAATCATGCTCTACAGTATTAATCAGATAAAGAGCAAATTTTTAATAATTATTCTTTAGTTTCATCCAGTAAACAGTTTTCTTCAATACCTTGATGGGACTTCACTATATGGCAAGAGACATGGTTACGGATTATTTCAGTCCTGAAAATACCTTAAATCTTCACTCAAGATTCCTGCTTTCAATTAAGTTTTTCTTTGTTTTTTACTTTTGTTCTTCAAAATATGTTTTATCCTTTTAGGCCTGAACCGTTTACAAGTGTTTAGCACTATGTTGAAATGTTTGTAAATCCTCTTGTATTAGGAAGGAAACATGCCATTGGAAGATTTACTGGCATTCTATGGCTATGAACCCACGATTCCCGTTATGGCAGGTTCCAGTGCGGATAGCTCTCCAAGTGAACTTGCAGATGAACTTCCAGATATGACTCTAGATAAAGTAAGTCAGAATCGTTTTCCCCTGTATTGTGGTTTAAAAGCAGAAATCAGGTGACCTTAAATTGTATTTTGCTACCTCTTGATGTTACAAAATACGTATCTTTGTTAATTTCAATGTACAATACTACTGTGAATTCATTCTTTTTCAAGGATATTGAGGATATAGTTCTAATTATAATTATCACACTTACAAATGCATAGCAACTTCAGTGGCACTATATTACTACAAATGAGAAATGAGTAAGTTAACAGTTCTTCTAGAACACATCCAGAGAACTTTAAATAGGTGGGTTTTTTTTAATGGAAGTGGGATTTTTTTAATAATGTATGCAATATCTGGAAATAATAATTCTGGCTTCCAACACACATGTCAAGTATCAAAACGTTTGTGGATAACTTGAAAATGCACTCCTGAATGCTTTGGAATGTTGCTTTCAAATGCATATCATTTGGAAAGGTCTCAACTTTGGGGAGTGACCGAGAGATTGTTTTCTGTGCATTGACTGTATGTGTTGCATTGCTGATGTAAAAACCTGAAACTTCAGTTTTTGTGATTTGCAAACTATATTCTGAGATTTTAATCTGATTTTGGCTACAAAGCATATGCAGCTAGTAGTTTCGATTATAAAGTATGTAGGTAGCAAGTATATGTCTTTTTTGGGGGTGGTTTGTTTTTTTTTTTTTTTACTTTCTGTGAGTATGATGTAATGGTAAACTCCACAGAAAGTAGGGTATAATGATGGCTCTGCACATCTGATTCTCATTAGGATTCACGATTGTGTTGAGGCTACAGAAATGTAGTCGGCTTGTTGTCTAATACCGTTCTTTCCCTTCCTACCCTCTCTGCAGATCGGTTCAAACATGTCTGCTAGTGGAGGAAGTGTACTTTTTCTTTCTTAATATCTCTTTTGTTAACCTACAGAACCGTCATTTTTTTTGTGTTTTGGGAGGATAACAGGTTGTGTACTATCTGTAACTGTTCTCTGAGCAAAAGTCTACAAAAGCGCGTGGCTGTTGGCTAGTTCCCACACCACCCCCCACCCTCCCCGAGTTTAAGGGGTAACAGCCTTTTAAAGCTTCGGCAATCTGTGATGCAAAGAATGGCAGTATACTGAAGATTTGAGGTGGTTTCTGCTGGCATTTTTCATTGGAAGCAACTGGAGGAACAGCTGAGATTGATGCGTGCAGAAGTTACTTCTTGTGTGTTTATTTTAGTGGAAGACGAAGGGGAAATGGACCCCTGTGTTCAACTCTGAAATGAATGGTTATATTTGCTCTTAGATTTAGGAGGAACAAACTAGCTTTTTAATTAAGGGAGTATGGTCTGCTAAATGTACTTATGGTAAAATAATTAATTTTAATTAATGAGATTTACAATTTGCTGAATCTAAATGCTTACCGGTCTGTATTTAATAGTCAGTCTGAGGTTTTACTTTTTTATTTTAATGATACAGGAGGAAATCGCTAAAGACCTCTTGTCAGGTGATGATGAAGAAACACAGTCCTCTGCTGATGACTTGACACCATCAGTTACTTCACATGAGGCTACTGACTTCTTTCCTCGGCCGTTAAGATGTAGGAAACCTAATTTTATAATAGTACTCAAAAAGTCTTAGCATTATGTATAGCTTCCTAGCTTAAAATATCAAAATTGCAGAGCAGTGCTGACTTTACTGGGAATTGAGAAACAGTGCTTTGCAGGATGTTGTACAATGTTGTCTTTGGTGGTATTACTGATTACCTGAAGGGCTTGTATTTGGTACTGTGCTCAAAGCACAAGTAAAATTAATTTCTCTACAAATACCATAACTTCATAATTAATAGTTAATGTGGTATTGAGGAACACCCTTCATGATTTTCAGTGTTAGTGAATTACATGAATATGTAACCTATTCTTTTAAATTCTTTTAAATTTAATTAATATGACACTGAAAGTGTGGCAGCTTTATAGAAAAAAAGATTAGCCCCTCATATTACTGAGGATTAAGAAACAGTTGTCTTTGTTTTCAGCTAGCATGTTTTTTTATCAGAATGTTACATTCTCTGTTAGAACTTTTGGCTGGACATTTTAAAATTGAATATCCACCATTTCGGGGAGGGAGATGTCAGTTCTCTGTGCCGTTGGCAGTTTCAGCTTTTCTGATCTTTGTCCATTTCTCAGGTAGTAAGATAACATGAAGTTTTAAGATAAACGTGTCTAATACATAATGTAGTCTATTTTATTAAATTTGCATTAATTGGAAAAAATAATTGCCAGTGATTATCCAGGCGTATTGTTATGTCATGCATTCAGGTTAGCTTCTTGCTTGCTACTTCTAACAACAAAAAGAGATAGACTGGTGATTGTCATAATGACTACAGAAGGAGAGCATGCAGTCTTGGATGTTGTCTCTGCTGTTGACAATTCTGTTTAGTTGTGATGAAGCTAAAATTGCAACCCTATGGATGAGCATGTTGTTTCTGAAGTTTGAGAATACCAACCAGCTTTAATCGTATCAGGACTAGATTCCATTCTGCCGGGGATTATACAGCTATAAAAATAGCTTTACTTCAGAACCCAGTACCACAGTGTTCCAGATTCTAAAATACGAGTTTTTCTATTGAGTACTGTATTTGAATTGCTTGGAGTGCTCTGCTGTATTTCTTCATAAGGAAAACAAAAAAAAAAAAACATGAAAAAGATGAAAGAGGAATAAGCAGTTTTTGCTCTCTTTCGCTTATTCCATTTTGTATATCTCTCCTGTATCTTCAACCCATGCCGAGGCAGCCTTATTTGAAGGAATGTTTTGCATGCCCATTAAAACTTCTGATGAAGGGTTTTAGTAGGTAATAAAGACATGCTTTCAACTTTACTTTACTTTGTGATTAACTTGAGGCTAAGTCATAGCCCTGGAAGTTTTCTGGTTTTCTCATACCTTTTCTGTGAGATATAAGCCTTTACTGGAGAAAATTGATGAGGAAAAATGATCTCGTGTCCTTTTGACTGTTAGAAATATAGTAGATTGTCTCAGTTGCAGTGATGATAAATGTTTCAGTTCTGCAGTATACAAGTACCAGTGCCTTCTGACTTCATGCTAGTTTGATAGAAATGTAGATCAACAGACTCATAAGTGCTTCCCAGAATAAAAGCAGGTGCTCCTTTCAAAAGTAAGGGATAGCTTGTAGCTCTGTGTTTGAACTGAAAATCTTCCTAGCTAAAACCAAACTTCTTTGTGTCTGAAGCAAACACTACGTGTGATGGAGATAAGGAATCAGATGGTGAAGATGTAGAGGCCGACAATGGTAATTCATCTGAAGATTTGAGAAAGGTAATAATTATATCTTAAAAAAAAGAAGTTAAAAAAATTTACTGTTAAGAAAAATGCATTAAGATTTATAGTATATATCTAAAGTAGTACTTTAATTCTGGAATTCTCTGCCAAATGTCAGGTTAATGGCATTTTTAATGCTTCCATATACAAAGTATTAAGTTAATACCTTTCTCTTTTTGTTTTTATTATATTGTCAGGAAATAATGGTTGGTTCACAGTACCAGGCTGAAATTCCACCTTACCTTGGCAGATACAGTGATGATGAAAAGGGTAAGTTCTTCTGACTGTTTTACTTTTTATTTTATGTTTATACATAGCAGTTAATGGGAAAATGTTATTTAAGTTTAAAGGTAAATTCAGTGGCTTTGTTAAAGTCTCAGAGACCTTAAAAGAAAAAAAAAAAGGCACTGGAAAACTGAAGTAACACAACTACATAATTGTATCTCAGAAGTGTGATTCTTCAACTTTGAGAGGACACTCTCAAGAAAGCATCAGAGGCTGGATTACAGCGTTAATTCTGAAGTATCTAGTAATACTAGGAGGCAACAAACGGTGGGTCAAGAAGGAGATATTTTCATCAAAGTACCATAACTGGGCTGTGAGCATGTATCTTAGTTCTCTTTGCTTGTTTTTTTGGAAGCACAACAGTGTGGGTTACAAAATAGATATGGAAAACAAAGCAATAAACCATTTTAAAATCACAGACCATGAGTAGAAGATGTAGGTCCTAATACGCTGTCTTTTAAAAATATGATGTTTTAAGTATGATGTTATTCCAGTGTAAAGTTAGGTTAAAAACTTCAATTGTGCTAGAGTAGAAAAAAAACTTACTTAATAGAGTTTTATTTGGTATCTTTAGGAGCCTTTACTCTGAAAAAAGTATAGCACATATAGCTGTGAAATTCAGAAAGCAAATAATGAAAGAAATTTGCTCATGAGTGAAACAGCTGTGAAATTAAGGAACAGTTTGGAGGATATGTTAATAAATGAAGGGCATCCCGTTTTTTTCTGTAAATTTTCAATATTCTTTTAAATTGCTTGTGTTCGAACTGTAACATTTCATGGGAATACTATTCTAGTGAAGTATATCAAGTCTTTTTACCATTACCAGCTGCTTTTTTGAAGAATGATCCTTTGCAATAGAGGTGAAGAATTTTTGGTATGGATGGAGCTGGAAGTATTAGCAAGTGAACATCTCTTGGGTTGCTTAAGAGACCTAGGGAAGTCTCCTGTTTTCTAAGATTCAGGCATGATGCTTATGGGTTGTAAGAAATGGAGGACTAAGAACCGGATTTATCTGCATAGTTCTTTTACTAGTTACACATCTTGACTTCTCCTCAGCCAAGAACTCGAGAAGGGCCAATAACCAGAGGATGACCAGGAATGGGTTAATCTGACAACTTTCTCTGGAATGAGCTGGTGCTGGAGAGAAGCAGTGGGAGTCTTGTCTGCTGGCATGGCTAAGAGCAAAGAGGTAGCTCCCAAATCAGAGAGCCCAAGGAGCTCCTCTTGAGATAATTAGTCATGGACTCCAGCAAGAAGTGCTGGCATGTCTTGGTTGGTAAAGGAGGTTGAAGCTGAGCATCAGCAGTGCTCAGAGAGGTTGGACCTGGTTGTAGGGGTGGAGGATTCTGTGAAAGCCTCTTCCGTGCTCCCTGAAGAGCTTGTAATGGCAAACGGGTTTATATTTCTGCTATATAGTCCCAGCTACCAGAGTTGCGCTAGAAGGCAGTTCTGCTCTTCTATAAACCTTACACGTGTAACATGTCTGTTTGAAAGCTTTCCATGTTCTTAAGCTGTAATAGAACTTTCAGAGGAGATACAATTTTATTCCTCACCTTAGCTTAATATTGTTCCCTGCAGTTTTGCAAGAGATTTGAGAACCTTCATCTCTTCTACTGTAACAGCCATTATGCTTGTGTGTTTGAATTGAGTATCTCTCTAATTTTATATCACCGAGAGTACGTAAAACATTAGGTGCAATGTTAATCACATCTATTGATCAGAGTAAAGGATTTATAGTTTCATCTAGAATTGAAATATGTGCACAGACTGAGAAAGGTTCAGGCCAACTCTTGTGTATGTATTTCCCATATACTGTCTTTCAAATAAGCTACTGAAGAGGTGTATACATTATTTCAGTGTACGATGAAGGAGGACTGTACATCCTGATTGCTTGTAAAGTATGCAGTGTACAAGTTCTTAACAGCATTCAGTTGTTAGTGAATGAAAAAACAAATTACCACATTGAGACCTAGGTTTCCATTCTGTTAATTAATTCTTGGCAAATTTTAGTTGAAAATGACCAATTAGCCACCTCCTCTTTTTTTTTTTACATGTAGTATTTGAAATATTAAAGTAATATCCTACACTCTTTTACTGTAAACTATAGTTTATTTTTTGAAAACAGCTGAATAAAACTGTGAATGGTTTTGCTAGTTTGTTTGTATGAAGATGATGAATACATATGCATAATTTGACTGGAATCATCTAGCTGTCAACAAGCTGCTCCTTTGTGAAGACTCTGTCCCCAGAGTTCAGTGTCTTAACTTACCCTCATGGAACCTGAATCTCTTTGCCATGTCATGCTGCAGTCTGTGTCTTTACTGAGGCTTTTGGGGAAAAAAGTTAGCTGCACTTTAAACGTGGCTTGATGGTGCTTGATTTGATGACTTCTGTGTTCCTGTTCTTTGTCTTTGTGAAATAGCTTTTAATGTTACAGCCTTAACAATGTCACACCTGGCGTTAATGGATTTCTGTTTTCACAGCCTATGAAAATGAAGACCATTTACTTTGGAAACCTGATGTGATCTCAGAAAGTAAAGTTAAAGAATACCTTTTTGAAACCTCCTTAAGAACAGGAAATGAAAAAATGATTGGCAGAATTCCTGAAGGACTACATACACGGGACAATGAACAAGTATGTTTTATATCCTGTTCCATTTGCGACATGTTGTTTTGTAATTAACATGTGTTCTCTTTCTCTGCCTTGTATTATAAAGGCAGCAATACTCAATTTCTTTATTTTCTTTTAATTAGATGTTATTGGGGTCAGGATCTTACTTGTAATTTTAAGCACATGCCTAAAATTATGAGTATTGGAGTGTTGGCAGTGTTGTGATCTGTGATGTTTCTGATTGCCATGCTGTTGACAAATCCAGCTGTTTTAATAATTGCATATAATGTTTTACATTTTCTTAATTAAACCTTGCCTCAACTTTTGGATGGTTTTGGTGGTTGTTTTAAAATTTTTGTCATGTATGAAGATAAATCCTCTTTTTTTACATCAGGTATGCTCATTGAAAGGCTAGTTTTAGAAGTTTAGATTGGATATTTGCAAACTTTGACTCTTTCTAAAGACTTGTTCTGTTTTGTAGGCACTGTATGAACTTCTCAAGAGTAGCCATAATGTTAAAGAAGCAATTGAGAGATACTGCTCAAATGGAAAGGCATCTCAGGGTAAGAGAGAGTACCTGTTTTTTCAGAAAGGTGTGTGTGTGGGGGGGGAAGAATAAAAAAAAGCTGGGTCGAAAAACCTTGAGTAAGAATCAGATTGATGAGCACATCCCTTGCCATGATGTCTTTAGCACAGATTAGGTATAATCTGGCTGTTGTCCAGTTGGAAATTGCTGCTAGAGAAGTTTGCAACTTGTATAAACGTTGCTTTTCACCTTCCCTTCTTTCCTCCGTTGCTGTTGTAAAAATGGCACAGACTGAGGAGAGGGGTGGGGAGAGTGGTGATTTTACTCCCATAAGGCAGTTCTCACCCACAGTACAGTATCTTTTTGAGATCATGATATAATCTGATGACATTTATACCAGAATCAGGAGAACATAGCTGACTGTATAAAT